TAATTTTCATGTTTGTTAACAAGTGCCAGGTGGGGGTGTTTGTAAGTTTTTAAGGGTTTTTTTGCCATTTAAAAACTTGGTGGGATCAGAATTTTACAGGTGAACCCAGAACTAGAACCCGGACCGTTTTGACAGTTTCTGATTTTGGGTACCTAGAACCAGAACCGTCGTTCCCGATTTCTAGTTCCAAATTTCCAAGGAACCGTCGCGTTTCCGATTCTATTCCGGTTCTTGATTCCTTTAAAAAGTGCAGGGTACCCGGAATCGAACTTCTACCATACTAAAACACTAGCAACTCCTAAATAACCCTTCGGACAACACCTATGCTCTAAAACACTGCACACAACCATCCCAGTTTGCTTCCCCATCACCTCCTTTACAACCAAAAATGTGCATTCTCGACCTGACCCTGTACCCACATCTCAAACAGAAAAGTCCAAATAATAGACATCAAAAAAAAAAAAAAAAATTTCACGCATTGACAGCAAATGTATTTTATTTTCCTGGTTCCTTAAAAAGCAAACCCCACCCCCACCCCCTCCCCCGCCCGCCCCACCCCCCCCCCCCCCCATACCCCCCCACAAAAAAAAACAAAAAGAGAACTATAATCGCACAGATAGTCCTAATTCGACTTATTCATTTTTATGAGAGATTTTTCTTTTTTTTTTTTTCTTCGATTGAACACAAAAACTTACATACGAACCCAAACTTTTGACCAACCTTTATGAGTAAAAAACGCACCATATCTAAACTCACCAAAATAATAAAACCAACTAACAATAATAATATAGAAAGCATCCAATTATACCATTTAGAATGAACCAGATCAACTTTCTCTTACCTTGTTCTGTGCGTTCGAGGAATGGAGAGAAAAGGGAGTAATATAACAAAGATTGGGGAGGGGGGGTATTTTAACTTTTGAAAAGTAATTTAAAACTGAGAGAATTTGCGCAGCCGGAGTAGTGGATGGGTAATAGAAGAAGATGTAACCTGGAGAATTTTTAATGACTGCCGACAAGTCAGTGTGCCCGCACCAATGCATTCCTATTAATTTAAATATAGGTTACCACGTGCACCCAAATCTGGCCGTAGAATCCCTCACAACACAATCAAATCATTCCTGTTGAAGGACAAAAATAGCTTATTCAATCTAAAAAAAACGAGCTCATGATTCTGAGAAAAATCATCGTTTTGGTAATTCTATGCAGATGCAGTTTGGAGATACAGATGAACAAAGGGAATTGAAGGCACATAATTTTGGCCGCACTTACATCCTTTGGCGCCTGGCCGGACTTATATATATTAAGAACTTTTTATTTGTTTTATATTTTTTAAGTTCTTTTTCAAACAAAATTGGATTTTTTTTGTAAACGATAAAGCCCGGACTAAGACAGTCTTAAGGTGTCACACCATAACACTGAATAAACAGAACCAAAGTAAATTTTAAAGAACTTAAGAGAATATTAATGAACATAACATTTGTCCCTTATCTTAATTTCATTTATGCAATAAATGTCAGGCGGATATCGAAATTTTGCACAAATTCTTGGTACAATGGATATTAGAGATACTGAAAGATGAGACCCCAACAAGGGAATCTCTACAAGAGTTTTAAACCACCTGGACATTCCAGTGAAGCCAAAACCGAAACACAGAGCGAAGCGCAAAAAACCGCAAAACATTCAACATCCAGCCATAGCAAATCACCGGAACCTAAGACAGCAGACCGCAACACAAAACGGTCAGGCCTACATCACCCAAAAAAACCGGCCCGTACAATTTACATAATAGCAATGCTACAAAAAAATACTGATTGGCAGTCAGCTTACTCCCTACAACGTGGTTAATCAGCCCCACCACAGCACCAAAAGTAATCCTCCCCTCCGCGGACCACACTTGAAATAGGTCCCAAAACACACATACAGAAGCAGCCCAGTGCATCTCTCAAACATTCGGCCACCCATCACATGCCCACAACTGATGTGTCCAATAAAGACAACCTCCAAAGTGCCTTGAGAGAGTCACGCCAGCTCAACCAGAGGCAGGAGATACTGTGGTAACAGTAATTAAACAGGTAGTTTGCCACAGAATTTTTTGCATCGAAGGACTACATTCAGTCAGAACGCAACCTACATTAACGACAAAACACATCTTTCATGATAAAACGGCCGTCTAACATTATGACGTTCGTCATAGTTTTGACACGCCCATTCCTCTGAATGGGAGAGCGTCCACAAAAATATCCAGTGACTCCCTCATCCCCTGTAATGATGATGGTCCTATACTAGGGGATAGACGTCCATCTTATATGAGGCGCCGTCCCTTACAAATTATAAAACCAAACATGGATTCTATTGGAATTTTCCGAGCCTCACGATCGCCGTAACCTATATCTAGCATTCACTCACATCTATGGTTTTTATTTACCTCAGACAAAATCAGGTTCATCTCTCGATCTGCAACCCCAACCACTGATATCATTCCAACCTAACAGGCCACATGTGAACTTGAAGCATTACCACGATATCAAATTAGAACTATCATGCTCCAATCTAAATCCATAATATTACACTTCACACCATATTCATAAATTGGGTACATCTGTAGCCCTCGCAAAAAGATTAAGTTTCATAAGAAATAGCAAAATCCTTATTCTATTCAATGACATCAGGTCAAGAAGAAGCGATAAAACTTCATACCTCAGTGACAGAGCCTTCCGGAATCCCGAATCTGCTAACCTTGTGTAGCCGCCTCCTCTTCTCTCTCCAAAGTCTCCCTCCTTACTTCTTAAGACCCTCCTTTATTATCCCTTCATCTGTTCATTGCTATACGGAAAGATTAAAACTTAGCCCATTCCGATTCCGTATTAGGGGTAAATGATTACACCACCCGTCTGACCCCTCCGCTGCGGTCGGTAAGCATGTCCATGATGATGTTCTTTTCTGTCAACGGCACTTTAATCTTCAGAATGTTGATAAAGTCATCACCGAAGACATTGTAGCTCTCTAAATAAGCTTTCCACACGCCCACTGATTGAATCAATAAAATCTGATTTCACAGCTCAACGTTCTGACGAAACATCGAGGCATACCCCATGACATAATGATTTTAAGTTTTCGTACACTCTTCGACGTGCCCAACACCTTTTCCACTTTCGACCCTGATTCTTGTGCCGTTTGTTCCTACCCTTGTAAGTCCTATCGCCATCTTCTTTCCCTTCAAAAACCTGTTTGAGCCTGACAACACTCAAATGCACCCCTGATCCCATAAATTGTATTTATGAAAGATTAATCCAAATTCCACATTTAACACATTTTGCAAAAATAATCAATAAATCACAACCAAAATAGAACATTCAACGCTCTATCTGCGGTCCGCCCTCACTGACCGACTTGAATCTGAACTACGACTTCAGAGGCCATCTTACGAAAGGACCTATGCCTTTAGACTTGACTTTATATTCCATTCCCCCCTCTGTAATATTATGAGCCTTTGTGGCACCAACAATGCCTTACGACCACGAGCACATGATCAAGCGCTATACAAGCATTTCCAAAAGGGTGGGCAATGGGAAAACCAACATGCCACAAAGTGATTCCAGGGGTGTAGGTTGGCACGGCACGACAGAATGAGTGTCAATGCCCGCTACTATTCCACCATGGCCTACTAGGAAAAAAGTTGGTACCCATTTTTCCTATTCCCTTTCCCAGGATCTGACTTTTTATTATCTAAAGGAGAAGTGTACGACATGAAAGAAGGACAACTACTGCGGGAAGAAAATTATGCCTGTGGCCAGGGGCCGTCTCAAAACATTTTGTCCCTAACAGAGTTATCTTTAGGGCCCTTTTAATAACTATAAGCTATATAAAAATTATCTCAATTTATTTTCTGCCTTTTTGAATACAAATAATCCTAATTACGATTTTATATTGTAAGTTTTAAAACCAAATCTTTTTCAATTGATTAAAAGCCAAATTACCTAATTTTATCTTGTCGAGGGCGAGAAAGGGGACGGCTGAGGGGACGAAGATTGGTGTCGAGGAATGGTCAACGAATCAGATACGTGTCTGACAAATGCGGCTGTCGCATGCGGTGAGAATTGACAATGGGTTGCGAAAATCACCAAAAATCGTCCAAATTGGCTGGGTTGTTAGGCTGGTAAACGTTTCAACAATGATTATAGTGCATCGAATCCCTAGTGCATTTTGGGTAGAACATTGACCCGAAATCATCACTTTAACGCCGACAACCGACAAATTGGCGGTGTATAGGGTAGGAGATTCCAATGTGTCAAATCATTTTAGGGATTGAACTGGGTGGTTTTGAAATTTTAGAACATTTAATAACTAGTTTATTAATTTAGGGTGTGAATGAAAAAATATGAAACATGGCTTTATTCTTTGTAAATTATTTAAAAAAATGCTACAGGAATTTGGGCCTTTTTCTGGGCCCTTTGGACCGTTTGGATAAAATTGTATAAACTTTTTTAGACCCACATGGTAGTTCTGTAAACTATTTAAACAAAATTTGGGCCCATTTTTTTGGTGCTTTTTTTTTTTGGCCCTATGGCATGGTGCCTCACCGTACTACTCCTGGCCGGCCCTGGTTGGGCGTGCGGTTGTGTTCCCACCAGATCATTTCAGATTGACGTCTTCTGTTAAGTAATTGGTTATTTCCTTCTCTTAAAGATTTGTGTTAGAGATTTGTTTATTTTTAGGTTTAATTTCCTGTTTTATCCTTAGGAGTTTGAGTTTGAGATTATGTGTTTATATTTTTTTATTTTTTTTATTTGAGTTGAATTAGGAAGTAGAGTTTGATTAGGTTTAATGTTATTGTCTCTTACTATAAAAGAGATGGAAAACTTTATTATTTGTGTGTGTAATTGAGAGAGAGAGGTTGATTAATAAAATAACGGAGTCGGATGTTTTTCTTTTGTCTTCATCACTTCTTTTTATGTTGTTGTTGCTCCAAATTCCAACAATTGGTATAAGAGACCCTCTCAATTTCCAACAATTCTGCTAGCACTACAGTCTTCATCAACATAGCAAGCCAACTACATTTTCAAATTAATGAAGCATACAACAACTGAAAACTATTTTATGTGAAATGAAGAAAGGAAGTGCAAACAGAAAGCTTCGAATAACTAGCGTAATTCTCTCATATATCAGCAGGCTGATTCCTGGAACGAACTTGTTTTTTGATATCATCAAGTAGAAGTGTAGTGTTGAGTTGAGAGGATCCCCCTTCTTGGACAGCTAATTTTGCCATCTTTCCCAGTTCTTTAGCTCTTTCTCTTCTCTCTTCTCCTTCGTCTCCTTCATCCATCAACCTTTCCACAGCATTCTTGATATCTTCTTTCCTTACCAACACTCCAATTTGTTCTTCTTCTCCCCACTTCACAGGATGTTTCACCCCAACACTTACACCAATCTTTAGTATTTGAACAACAAGTTTCTCATTACAAAATTGATCCCCAAACAGTGGCCAGGTAACCAATGGCAGGCCAGCACACACGCCTTCTAGCGTCGAATTCCATCCGCAATGTGTTAAGAATCCACCGATTGCGGAGTGTGACAATATTAGTAATTGCGGAGCCCAGCCCCTGATCACAAGCCCTCTCTCTTTGATCCTTTCCCGAAAACCATCCTCTAAAATCCATTTTTCTAACTCGATGGATGCTTCTCCTCCCCCCCTTACCACCCAAATGAATGGCCTGTTTGATGCTTCTAAGCCTAACCCAAGTTCTATCAACTGTTCAGGAATTACATTACGAAGGCTTCCAAGGCAAACGTAGATTACAGAGCCAGGATCTTTTGAATCAAGCCACTTTAAACATTGGTTATCATCAATTGCAGCTTTGTTACCTCTTTGAACTTTGTCCAAGTAGTCTTTATTGTACAGTGAAACCGGACCAACACACCATACTTTGCCATCTTTTTCCTTTCTAAATTCCTTAACATAAGCAGGCTCCAATTCCTCAAAAGTATTTATGATGACTCCATATGTGACTGGTTCAGCGGCAGCAACTTTCTCCGTAAAGGAATTTAGATTCAACGAATCGAACAGCTGAGGAATGGTGAATTCAACTTTATCGGGCAAACGTGGGGCAACAAAGTACTCTGACTCCAGGGTCATACTTTCGAGGCCACTGTAGAGAAAGAAACTGTGCAAGCACAAAAGGCAGAAACAACAAAATCCATGGAAAATAATCCTTGGAATGTTAAAATTGGCAGCAATGTGTGCGGAAAAGGGCAAACACATATCAGAGATTATGCAGTCTGGCTGTGGTTTTAACTCCTGGAACAATTTTTCTGCCGGCTCTTGTAGTATCTGTGCTGTGTTGAAAAAGTTTAAGGCGGAGCCCAGTGAATCAATCATGTCAAGATTTTCACAACCTTCTGGTAATCCTCCTTCGGCACACGGAAACGGAAGTTCGATTATTCGGAGCTGAAGTCCGGATTCTGTAATCCGAGAAAAAGTTTTTCTGTTCCGAGCTGCATTAACTGGTGTAGTGATTATGGTGATAATTACTCCACGCTGTGCCAGCAGCCTTGCTATGTCGATCATGGGAATCATATGGCCCTGGGCCATGAAAGGAAACAAAACAAAGTGAAGCTGGTTTTCTTCAGAACCCATGAAATTTTGAGGTATAGATGAAATTAAAGACTAGGGGACAAGTTTCATTCATCTCTTATATATATATATATATATATCATGATTCAATTTCATATTAGAATTGGATTGTCCAGGTGATGTAAATACATACGTTAGAGAGAAATACTTAGGTGGGGGCAGTTTTACCTTATCCGCTAGGTCATATGGTAAGGCAATTCAATGAAATACTAGTACGTATTATGGCATATACTTGTCAAATTCTCTTTCATCTATCTATTAGCATGATTGATTAATAATTACCTTATATCACTCATTAATAACCATCATCATGATGGATGGTTACTAACTCTATATATCATTATGTTATTGGAAGATTTCATCATATAACTACGTGACGTGATGAGACTATCCTATATAAATTCTTCTCTACATTAGAATAAGGCCGATTGTGATGGAAGACACAAACTTTTAAATAACATAAATTTATTACAGTTAGGTCATTAATAATGAATGGTTTATAAAGAGTATCAAAAATTTAAGTCATAATATCTAACCCTTAGAAAAAAAATTAGAAAAACTTAAAAACTAATAACATTTTGCGCCAGAGGTTTTGAACCAGGTTAAGTAATATATATTTTCATTTTTGGGTTTGTCATATATAAAATTAAGATCTTGGAGGCATTTCAAGTTCACAAGTTATAATCACTAATTATTTCGATCAAGATGAGACAATTTATCCGAATAGAACGTGGTTCACACAAAAAGCAGAGAGAATTTTGATGGTAATGTTATACATTTTTCCATGTGGTCACAAATGCATAAAAGAAATAAAACGCATAGATCAACCAAATATACTTCACGTGCTACCACAAGAAGTGGATTCTGAGGTGCGAAAATAAACAAGCATACAGTTCCAAAGTGTTGGTTTGGCAATATGCTTAATGCTTGTATGAATTCCCATTCGTTAACTCTAACTTCACCAAGAGGCTAGGCCTTCTTTTGCATAAGTTAGATTTAATGGATAGAACTTTGCATTTACACCCATAATATTTTATCACTTATTTCTCCTTTATTTTATCTTAATTCATCCTCGGAGAAAAAATTATCCTTAAAGTGAATTCCTCATATTACTACTCTTTTTTATGAAAAAAGAAAAAAAAAAAGTATCACAATAGATATATAATTAAGAATAACCAAAGCTTTTGAGAAATTTATTCATCATCCTTAGTCGTGTCCCAAATAAGTTTTATTCATCAAACTAAAAATAAAAAAAGTAATTATATACGTGGAAAAATTGAGAGTACTTCTCAACCCACTCCGTAGTCCATGTTGGTGAAAAGAAGCAAACACTAAGTATGGCTCCCTAGTCAGGTTTAAAGGGGAATGTTGGTAAAAAGGGATGCAGTTGCGAAACTTAAAAAGTATTGGAGCTCTTCAATAATTGTCAAAGCGTCATCGTTTTATCTTTGTATTAAATAAGCTAAGCTTCTACTAAGTTGACTAAGCTGAGTTCTGAGTGCTATATAAAAGACAAGAAGACACTCATGTATTTCATTCATTCAGATATTCAATTACAGTAATAAGAAATCTAAAATCATTTCTTGATCATTTCTTGGTTAGCCTTGTGCCTTTCCTGTTTTTCTTGAACTAATTTCAGTTTATTCACATGGTATCAGAGCTGTGACTCACGTCAATGGCTACTGATCTTGATTCTTTGAAGACGCTTAACAGCATAGGAAGAACGATGCCTGTACTGCAGAATCAAACCACCATAGCACTTGTCGCAAGCTTGCAAGTCATCAATCCCAAATTGACGAGAAATAATTACCAATTATGGAGTTCACAAGTCATTTCCACTGTTGGCTCACACGATTTGGAGGACCACCTATTAGGTAGGGTTCCTTGTCCTCCCCTAATTTTAGTTTCTAATTCTAATATTACAAATGAGCTAGGTCAAAATAGAGCTGGTTGTACTCTTGGTGAAAGTCTTAATCCAGCGTTTGTCTTATGGAAAAGAACATATAAGCTCATAAAAAGCTGGTTATTAGCTTCAATTTCAGAGTACATGTTTGGATCTGTATCTAAGTGTAGATCTTCCACTGAAATTTGGTTAGCTTTAGAGAATGAATTCGTTACAAATTCAAAGGCTAGGGCTTTACATCTTAAAAACCTTTTGCAAACCACACACAAAGGGGATCTAAGTATTAGAGAGTATGTAAAGAAAATGAAAGATATTTCGGAGAGTCTAGCTGCTAGTGGATTAGTTGTGTCTGATGAAGATTTGCTACAATATGTACTAGATGGATTGGGGCCTGAATATGATGCTGCGGTAGTAACACTTGCATCTAGATTAGAGTCCAAGATTGATACTGTTTCTTTGTGGTAGTAACACTCACATCTAGATTAGAGTCTAAGATTGATACTATTTCTGTAAAACCCCTCCCTAGCCGGGTATTTCCTAAGTATCCCTTGGCCATTGAGAACCTAGAAAAGGATTTAATACTTGTAATATATTTATTTTTGCTTTACCAAGGGCCATTGTTGGAGGTGGGATTTGGTAAGTTTTTAAGGTTTTTTTTTGCCATTTTAAAAACTTTTGGGGGATCAGAATTTTACAGGGTACCCAGAACTAGAACCGGAACCGTTGTTACAGGTTCTGATTTTGGGTCACCTAGGAACCAGAACCGTCGGTTCCGATTCTAGTTCCAAATTTCAAGGAACCGTCGATTCGATTCCGATTCGGTTTCTGGTTCCTTTAAAAGTGCATGTACCCAATCGAACATTCCTACTAAAACCACTAGCAAACTCATAAAATACCCTTACACCTAATGCTCTAAAACACTCCACACAACCTCCCATTTGCTTCCCCATCACCTCCTTTAAACCAAAATGTGTCATTCTCGACCTTACCTGTACCCAATCACTCAACAGAAGAAGTCCAATAATAGACACAAAAAAAAAAAAAAAAAATTTCAACGCATTTACAGCAAATGTAATTTTATTTTCCTGGTGTTCCTTAAAAAATAACCCCCACCCCACCCCCTCCCCCCCCCCCGCCCAACCCCCTCCCCCCCCCCCCCCCCCCCCCACAAAAAAAAAAAAAAAGAGAACTATATCGCACAATTAGTCCCATAATTGCGTAGCTTATTCATTTTATGAGAGATTTTTTTTTTTTTTTTTTTCTTCGATTGAACATCAAAAAACTTAATACGAAGCAAACTTTTTACAAACTGTATTAAACAAAGCCAACCAATATCTAACTCACCAAAAATATATAACACAACATACAATAATAATAATAATAAGATCCAATTAACCCATTGAATGAACCAAGATCAAGCTTTTCTTTACCTTTCTGTGCGTCGAGGAGAATGGAGAAAAAGGGAAGTAATAAAAACAAAGTTGTGATGGGGGTTTAATTTTGAAAAGTAATGTTTAAAACTGAGAGAAATTGTGCCCCGCCGAAGTAGTGATCGGGAAGTAGAGAAGATGAACTGGAGAATTTTTGAAATCTTCGAAAGTAGTGACGCAGCCATGCATTCTATTAATTTAAATATAGGGTTACACGTGCACAACTCTGGCCTTGATCCATCACACACAAATCAAATACATTAAGCTTGAAGGACAAAAAAGCTTTATCACTAAAAAAAACGAGCTCATGAGTTCAGAAAAATCATCGTTTGTGTATCCATGCAGATGCAGTTTGGGAGATGGCAGTGAAAAAGGGAATTGAAGGCAAATAATTTTTGCCGCATATTATACTTGGCGCTGGCGGACTTAATTTATATTAAGAACTTTTTATTTTTTTTATTTTTTTAAATTTCATTTTTAAACAAAAATGGATTTTTGTAAACGATAGCCCGGATAAGAATCTAGGGTGCCAACCATAAACTGATAAACAGAATCAAAGTAAATTTTAAAGGAACTTATAAGAATATTAAGAACATAACATTGTCCTTATTTTTTTATATCAATAATGGTCCGGATATCGAATTTTTTGCACAGAATTCTTGGTAAATGGAAATAGTAATAAGATGAAAGAATGAGACCCAAACAAGGATCTCTACAGAGTTTAAAAACACCTGGACCATTTCCGGAACCAAACACACACCGAGAAAGCAAAAAAAACAGCAAACAGTTCAAACATCCAGCATGCAAATCACACGGAAGCCTAGACAGCAGACCACAAACACAAAAAGGCAGGCCTTACATCAACCCAAAAAAACCAGCCCGTACAAATTACATATAGACAAGGCTAACAAAAAAATACTGATTGCAGGTTCCATCTGTACTCCCAAAAAACTGTTATCAGCCCACACATCGCAAACAAAGTAAGTCTCCCTCCGGGACCACACCTTGAAATGGTCCAAACCACATAACAGAACACCCCATGCATTCTTCAGAAACATTCGGGCCCACCCATCACATGGCCAACTGATTGTGTCCCAAAATAAGAAACCATCCAAGATGCCTATGAGGAGGTAACTGCAGCATCAACCAGAAGGAGCGGAGATACAGGGTAAACAGTAATTACACAAGGTAGTTTGCCACAGAATTTTGCATCAGAAGACATAAACTTCAGTCGAACGCAACTACATTCAGACAAAAACAACATCTTTCATGAATAAACGCCGTCTAACAATTATGGACGTTCGTCCATATTTATGGACACCATTCCACATGAATGGATGAGCGTCCCAAAAATATCAGTGGACTCCCATCCTATATTATAGGATGGATGTCCATATACTGGATAGACTCCATCTTATATGGACGCCCGTCCTTAAAATTATAAAACAAACCAATGGAATTCTCATGGAATTTCCGAGCCTCACAGATCGCGGTAACCTATCTCTAGCATTCACCTCAATCTATGGTTTTATTACCTACAGACAAATCAGGTTTCATCTCTCGATCTCAACCCAACCCCTGATACTTCAACTCTCAGGCCCTTGAGACTTGAAAGCATACACACGATAAAAAACTTAGAAATCATGCTCAATATAAAACATATAATAACACGTCACACATATTCATAAATTGGGCTACATCTGTAGCCCTA